ATATGTGGCTGGCAAATTGTGTATAACTAATTAAAAAATCTGAAAGTGCTTGCGTTTGTAACCACACATCTAATGATCAAAATGAGACCCCAAGGACCATGATTGAACCATCGGTTCTAGCTGGATCCTACGGCACAGGGGTACCTGTCAGGACTGTGGGCTTGCTTCATCGAGGAGGGTTCTATGGTGACTGGGACCTCAATTTTCATATTCCAGAGTGAAAAACTTTGAAAAAAGAGTGAAGAAAACAGAGTTTTCTCTGTATATTCCAAAAAAAATTTTTTTCTTCATAATTAATAAATTTTTTATAAATGTAGGTTTAAGGTACCTTTCCCCCCTTAATTGTTGCTATGTTTTTGTTGTTGGAAGAACTTTTTTATGTATTTTGCGGGAAAAACAGTTAGTTTTTTATTTGAAAATTTTTATTTTTTCGACAATTTTGTGGAAAAAAAGTCGGGAATGGGAATATCTTCTGAACGTGACGGTGTAATGCCATTTATTCAATTTTGTTTATTGATTTTTGTTATGTCTTTGTTTTTGGAATAACTTTTTCTGTATTTCACCTGAGGAAAAATTTTTTTTTAAAGTTCAAAATTTTTTTTGAGGAAAAAAAACTAAGCTTATAGATATCGGTGGCCTTTGGCGATTCAAATTCCCGTCTTAGTCCGCCCCAACGCCCGTAGTGTTGAGGGTCTCAACATGATGTGGACACTTTGATCTTAGCCAAAAGGCCGAGAATCCTAACTCCCATTATTTTCGGCTTCTATAGTTCAGGAAAAATTTTTTATTAGGAGGAAGCACTTTGCTAATGAATTGGTAGCGGTTTTTTTGTAGTGTGATTAAATTAATAATCAACTAATAACAAACATGCCACGAAAATGATGTGAATAAAGCTCAATCTTTTGTAAGGACTCATATAATTGCTAATTATTACTTCCTCGTTAAAAATATAAAAAATATAAAAAACGCCTCAAATTTCTAAAAAATAATGTCAAATTGCTGCCAATACATTGGCAAATATTTTTTCACTAAAATGGTCAAGATTACAACTTTCATTTAAAAAGGCTAATGGAATATGATAATATCATATTTTTCAATCAATTATTCTAAATTGAAAATCGTTTTTGAATGAATAATTCATCATTATAGCCTCTTCAGGCTTAAATTTTATCGCAATTGATAATCAATACGATTTGATCGTCTTATTATATTTCGCGAGTCACGAAGCTCGTACTTGATATTACGATATCTAATACGATAAATTAGCCACGTTGGGATTGATTCTTTAACATCGGGACACCGACATGGAATACCGGCTAAGTATATAAAATGAAACTGTAACTAGTTAAAATCATTGTACATTCTTTCGTCATCAAAGCAAGACATTCAAGTCATACACTCAATTCAAGTAAAAAAAATTCAGAACAATGAAGACAGCTTTTTCTGTATTTCTAATCGTTGCTTCGATTTCAGGTACTTATTATGTTATTATATAATACAATTAATTCATTACATATTTATAGTTCATGAATATGAAGAACTGAACATTACTATTTTCATTTTTAGCAACTTTTGGCGAATTAAATAATGTTGAAAAGCAAATCTGTGAACCAAAGAGCACCTTCAAAAACTACTGCAACGTATGCTTGTGCTCTGACGACGGCCTAACCGCTGAGTGCAGTAAGGGACTCTGCTATCCTCCTGAAAAATGGAATCCTGACGGAACTCTTGCACCGGTAGATGATACAGAGGAGTTCAAAAAATTGATAGCTCCAGGACAAATTTGTATACCAAGGACTAGGTTCAATATGTTTTGCAATTACTGCGCTTGCAATTTCTTCGGGACCGATTACGTCTGTACAAGAGCCCTTTGTCCAGAAGGTATGTATACCATGAACGGCACACTTTTGGTTGATATTGCCTAGCGGAAGAAGAAAAAAATATTCGTGTATAAGAGCCTACTATCTACAAGGTATTTATACCAGGAACGGCACACTTTTGGTTGATATTGCCCTAGTAGAAGAACAAAAAAATATTCGTTATAAGAAATAAGAAAATTAAATTGTATCGAATAAAATTAAATAAAAAAGAAAATTAATATAAATATTCAACTTTTTTTAGATAATTTCAGACAATGATCGATAATATTTGATAGTTACAATAAAATTGGTAAATTTTTATCTACCTATAATAAAAATTATTAAAATTTGTTTTTGATTTTTAGAAAATAGTCAGTTTTATTAGAAAAAAATGTTCTTATAACTTTTTGATCATATTTATTAAATCATAAAATTCATAAGAGTCAAAAATATGTTTTTTTATTATGTGAAAATTAATAAAATGTGTATGATAATTCTCAATCAAAATCAATATATTTTTTGAATATTTTTATTATTAATTATAAAAACGATAGTTACACGTAACAAACTTAATTGAGAAAATACAAAGTATATTTAGCAAGTAAAGTGATGTGGCCGTAATAAGGTGTAGACGCACTGGTATAATTAAATTTATATTTATTGCATAGATCACCATACATGTGTAGCGGAGGTCAGTGTAAGACTGAATTCGCCACGTACTCGCTTACTCGCTAGCGCTACTGGAGCGCCAATAAGAAAAAGTCCACTGTCTCGCATACATGCATACGCGTACACAACATAAAGTTTACAAAGTAGCTATTCCTCATATTGGTTTTGCTTGCTTTCTTCTTGAATTTTTGATCTTCATTAGGTTTTGTTTTGAATTTATCAAAATTTTTCTTTTCTCATTTATTCAAATTTTTCTCATTTAGTGCCAATAATCATGAATTAGTACTTTACGATACAAGTGCCATGAGTAACGCTTTTTGGCACGGCGTAGTTTAGGGCCCGAGCGCAGGTAGAGTTCTAATAGCTGGACCGAAAAGTGTCCCCGTGGCACGACTTATACCACAGAAAAGCGCGTCATAAATGTGAACTTATATCCAGCAGTGCCACAATGTAACTTAACTTTAATTATTGATAAACTAATTATGAATCTTTAAATAAAATTGATAAAATGAGGGTGAGCAGAGAGTACATTGCATTCTGAGTACATACTTAACTCCATTAGCATACCATTAGCGGACATTTGTTGATAATTTAATGTAGTTTCCAAATATGTGAACTACATTGTCCTACGACTTCTAGTTGAAAACCTCGTTTTGGAGCCTATCACGAAGCTTCCTTTATGAGGAAGCAAAACAAATTACGCCTGCCAAGTTCTATTGTTTTCAATAACCGATGAATATACAAATCCCATAAAACATTCATGGGAGTGACATTACGATTTGGATAGGGTCGAGTGCATGATCACGCCAATTGAAAATGTCAACGAGTAGTGATACACGTTTTATATACAAAAAGCACAAGCAGCAGTTTTGAAGATTTGCTTGGGCCATGGCACACGTTACGACACAAGCTCTCCGGATCGCATATCCCCCGAGAGACACATAAGATGCGATATGAACAAAAAGCCCGATACACGCGCCGCGGCGGTGGCTCTTGTCCAGAGAACGTCTATTTGTTCGCGCGTGCATACGAACTGCGAGAGAACGACGACTGTGTTTGACAAAATATAAGATTTTGACATTGAAGCCAAGTGGCTCTGCGACCACTCGAATATTCTCCATAGTGGCAATGCTCGTTTACGTGTATTTGCTTGTCGCGTTGTGTATGTTACGTGTGGGCTCCGTTCGTATATGCATATGGGGATTAAAAAGTCTTTCATAAATAGCTTTTCTCACTTGTTTATTTTTCAATTTATAATTCATTAATACAAATCAAAGTCCTTATTTAATTGGACTGGAGCTTTCGAGGTGTTCTCATCGACCCAAACTAATATCAACTGCAAAAACAATTCGTTTTATCATTGTTCGATTCGAATAGAGCCTCTAATGAACATCAATGATTGTTATAAAAATAAAAATAATAGTCAATTTGAAAAACTCACCGTCACTGCTGCACTCGATCTCGCACTCCATCCAACTATCGAAAGCGTACCATTTGGCGGTAGCATGAGAGCTCGTGAAGGCCATGCATTTACTCTTATTTTCCACGAACATGTAAAACGTGTAGCCGTAGCCGTCGACACCCTCGTACGCCAACATCCACCAATTCGACGGGGTGTAGCATTTCGGATTAGGATGGATGCTGTACCACGGATTGGCTAGTGTACAATTTTGGAAAAAACGTATACATTCTTTTGTTTATTATATACAAAACGAAATTTTGTGATAAAAATTATTGAACTCACCGGTGAAGATTTTTTGGGTTATTGCGAGTAAAATAACAATGCGAAAAATTGATTTAATGGTCAAGTCCATGACGATTTAACTTTCAAAAAACAATGTGAGTGACTTCGTGCTACACTTCAATTTGAACGCATTAATCCACTAGTGCGAGCTTTGTTGGCTAAAATAAAAACATATTTAATGAGTACCATGTGTAACTGGATCATCCTACTTCTGTTTAAATATTCGAATAAGTTATTTGATTGAATAATATCGGCATGCTCAATCACGTAGAGCCTTTTATGTACTACTTCCATTTGAATTTCAATGAAAATTTCAAGATCTCGCACGTACACGTGTGTGTCTGCGTGCAACAAAAAGCTCGGTTGCACACGAGTCGAATTGCTCTCTGTCTGCAAAACTAAACACAGAAAAGAAAGTCAAGTCTGCGAGACTTTTTCCAAGCTCTCTTTTTCTCTCTTTCTCTCTCTCTCTCTCTCTCTCTCTCTCTCTCTCTCTAGTGCAAAATCATTTGTCCAACACACCGCCGACAAATCCAACCTACGATGTCTATATAGCTGCCTGGCATGGAGCACAGCACGTACATGGAATGGCGCAAGGAAGTAACAGCAAAAAAAAGTCGACGAACTTGCGCTGTGTGTAGCACTATATATATACGACTCTCGTACGTGTGCGGCGCACACCCCTCCTTTAACTTTTCAAGGAGTTTGCACTCGTGCTGTATACAACTGACCAACGCGATGCTCTTATCGTTTAGATGAGGGCAAAAGGAAAAAAAAGAGAAAAAAAGAGAAACGAATGAGGAGACTTTTTTTCTCTCTCGCTCTCTCTTTTTTTTCGATCTTTGTGCGAGAGCAGTTCGTATAGCTCCACTTAGTTTGCTTTCTAGGATTTAAGTTTTGAAAAGGTTCGCCGGAGAAAAAAAGCCTTTCGTTGAGCTATATCGAAAATTCATCTGTTTCTTATCGGTGCAAAGTAAATGCTGACCGATCGAATCAGAGTACACAGTGACAAGTTTTTATCGTGTACTTGTACGACTGACTTTATTAACAAAAAAAACATTTGTATGTTTTGAAAATTACTGAAGAATATATTGAAATTTTGCTCGCTTGAAACATAGCGCTTGAAAATCGCTTGAAACATACACACCGGTCGTGTTTGTGCCTTGAGCGACGAGCGAAAAAAAATAAATAGGAAATCGTCGACATGCAGGCGTAAATGTTTCGAGCTGTTATGTATACACACGTCGGCAGCGGTATATGTATCGACTCCCCTTTACTACACTGTCTTATCGGGTTGACGAATAATGTCGGCATATTGAATAGATAGCGCGGCAAAAACTCCCCATGGATTTTCTCGTATACCATATACGCGTGATACGCGGGGCACACGCGGACGTGGCTTTGCCTCGAATATCTGGTCCAAAGTGAGTCTCCAGAGGATATTAGGCGATCGACCCTTCTTCTCTCGTGTCCCTTCCCATTCCCAGCTCGTGCAGCAAAACACTTTGCGTGATTCATTCACGCCAAAAGGTTCCAAGAGTATCTTTTTTGCTTCCTTCACGAGGAAGCTCTGTCACGAGCTTGAAAGCGATTTTTTGAAACAGGCGTCGTAAGACAATTTGGTTTACATATTTCAAGACTTTATTAAATTTCCAACAAATTTCTGCATGCGTGTGTTAGTATATAAATAACTAAACTAATAATCTAGTTTATAAATATCTAAAAGAAAATGTCATGTATATAAACGCATACAGTAGTTTTTGTCAATCGCCTATATTTACATTTATCTGGGGCACTTTTCCAAAGCTCGTCGAACGATCGCGAGATATCATATATTTCCAGGCATAGATGCCAAGCTTTAAAAAATATTTTTTCAGGGTACGATTTGTATAATACACTTGCACGGCTTTCGGAGTTAATAATACGATAATGTACGATCATTAAGGATAAATTGATACAGACATCACTTAGTTGCGTAACAGCTTATTATATGTATATGTTTAATATCCGTAAAAAAAATTAAAAATCTTACCGGTCGATGCACTTCGTTAGATAATAATAATTATGAAAAATTGGGTCAGCTAGATTGTAGGGTTATACAAAGTATTATCATGGAAAGATAATTATGGTCTCGAACGACGATCCTCTAAAGCATAGAGTGACGTACGTAAGTCACTGAATTCAGCAATGAAGTTATTTAGAAAAATTAACTCGACGGATATTACATTTAAAAAAAAAAATATCCACAGGTGCACGCGCGATCTCCTGCATTAAATAATTGCACGAAAATTGAGCGTCGATGTCTATCGCGGGCCAATCGCGCACAGCCCGCGTGTAAGCACTCGAGTATTACACTCTGTATTAAGAGATTTTTTTCCATCAAAGTAAAAAGCGGCTAAGGGTTTTGTATTTAATATCGAGCATATAAAAACAATTGTCTACCACGGCAGAGACTCGCGTAATACGACGTATACATATTATATGCATTAACGGAAGCAAATCGTAAATTTTCCAGATTACATGTACCTCGCGTGCCTTACCATGTGTATAGAGAGAAAGAGAGAGAGTACTTCGAGGGCCTATACGTATAGAGCTATATGCCGGGCTGCAGCTGCAATTCCGATAAAAATTGTATATAAAACGTGCGCGCACAAGCGGCGAGGATTAAACGCAAAAGAAAGAGGTCTGCGTAGCCGCTGTGTAAGAGCATTTATCAAGCAGTGGACGCGTACGTACATTTCGTATATTATATGTATGTCGTATACTTTCTTGCCCATACGGCTCGAACTATAAGTGAAATTGTGTTTAGGGGTTGTGCTGCTGCTGCTGCACCGGGTCTCAAGCCGGGCACTGTGTATATAAATGTGAAGTGAGCGATATCGATAAAGCCCGACGCGCGCGTTGATAAGTTGCAGGAAAAATTATGTATACACTTGCGTTTACTCGAGGAGCCTAGTTCCGACATCGTGAACTTTTTTCCTTTTATCTCCAACACCGTGTGTGGGTGTACACGTGTGTTTTCATTAATCATTTGCTCGGCGAGTCGGCGCAACTTGAAGATAACGAAAAAAAGGCTTTTTCTTATTTCAGTTACAACTTGGATTCGGTGAAAGGTGTAAAAAGTAATGGGTAAAAAAAAAGAACAATGCACCGTAATTTGAATTTACTCTTACGGTCGTGATCTTTCTTATCCTCGTTTTAAAAAAATTATGGACCAAATGAAATGAATAGTTTTGAAGCACTCTAAAATGCCGATGGAGCATCAATATACAGCTGCTTCGAATTTGAAAGTAGTACTTATTATTATTCTGTTCTTTTGAGCAACATTAAACCGCTAGATGGCGTCGAATAATCATGCAATAATATTTGCACAATATTCTTATAAATTAAAAACTTATAGCTGACTCAAAATATCATTAATCGTTAAAGTTCGATGATGTAATCCATAAAACTGACTTACGAAGTATCCGGAATGACTTGTGTGAGCAGAGGAAAACTAATAAACATTATACATTTTTGATAGAATTTTTATTTTGTCCAATAAACAATTGGTATTTTTCAGACGGTATTCTATTACGATCAAAAGGAGAAATTAAAAAAATTACTTCCACGTCGCACGAAGCGTATAAGGGCTAGTATAGATACAAAATCGCGATGGGCCGCGAAAACTCATTACCAGGCAGTTAAGCACCTGGTTGTATAGCTTAATCAGCGCTCCTCGTATACGATCCGACGTTAAATCGGATCTTCGTCCAGCTAAATTTTGCAAACGCGATCTACTCTTCCCGAAACTTTGCGTACTGCGAGCACTTGACGCGATACGTGTTCCCGAACGATGAGCATCGCGATGATTTATCGGCGCCTTTAATTAATCCCGATGTTTACGCTCTCTTAGAGATCGAGTATATACGCAGGAAAGCCGATCACGCCCCAGCTGTATTTTAGATAATCGACTGTATCGCACCAGAGGATTATGTGTTGAGCACACGATTCAGGTGTATATCGTATTTATACGATAAAAAATTGCGAATTCGAGCGATCCACGTGAACTATTCAACTTTCTTAATTTCTCTACAAAATCAAAAATGTACGTCGACTTCGAGACCTTATAAATATATTCTCGCGCGCTTCGAGCGTAACTCGCAGGATGAAGAGAGAAAAATATTCACTTCGGGACAGCCATTAATCAGTCATATACGTATAATGTAACATGCGAACTGCACTTCGCGCACGATCGTGGTTTTCTCTCTCTCTGAAACGAGCTGCTATACGTTTCTCAGGCAGCTCGCCAATGTGCATATAGCGCTCATACTTTTATTTTTCAATGCACAAGCAGAGCCGCGTGCAATGGCTGTCACGAAGAAAAAGGCGGGTTTCGCGCGCACATACGAATGCGCCCCGGACACGAAGATAACATAGGCTCTACTTAGCACGCGACGAGTATTATTACAAAAGAAAATGCTACAAGACCATCGCCATTGATGCAGTCCAGACAATTTCTATGAGTTCAAGGAATAGATACTTTAGTTATAGATTGGGCCGATAGAAGGGACAATGTAATTTCAATCTGTACTCGAACGTGAAAAGTGTTTTGAATTTCCTCATGAAGCTAGAAATTATTAAATACTTTTTTGAACTATTTATTCTCGATCGACAGAAAAGTATATAATATTATACATGTGTAGGTGATATACGTGCTTTTGAGCTGTTGCTGCTACATTATAATATGAGCAAGGAATACCTCATCTACTTCGTACATAAGTAATCTATGCCAAGCTCGAGCGAGCTACGCACGTATCTATATTGTATCGTACACGAAGTGTATGAATTGCAACAGTAATGCGATAATTACGTCGATGTGTTATAGCTTTATTCGACTCTTAATTTTTGAAATTGCAAAAGAAATTATCATCTTCTCATGGCTAATAGAACGTAAAAGAGAAAGTAAGAAATAGTGCTTTACAGCCTTTAATGAGGGTTAAACTCGTACATTAGCTTCAATTAAGTAAACGCGATTTTTCTCCGAGCGTAACTGATAAGCGATCTTCAGCGTCATTTGGACGAGATAAAAAGAAATACCTGCATTCGCCAAAAATCAGCCAAATCCGGGTGCGTATAAAATGAAATGAAAAAAAATTTTATGCTGTTTGCGGCACAG